AATAGCGGGCACTGGGGACCAGAGGAACAGTTAGGACATAGGACCAGAGGAACAGTGAACACAGAGGATAAGAAGAGTGAATACGGAGGACCAGAGAAACAATGAGCACAAAGGACCAGTGGAACAGTGGGTACAGAGGACCCAGGGAACAGTGGACACAGAGGGCCAGTGGAATAGTGGGCACAAAGGACCAGTGGAACAGTGGGTACAGAGGACCCAAGGAACAGTGGGCACAAAGGACCAGTGGAACAGTGGGTACAGAGGACCAGAGGAGCAGTGGGTACAGAGGACCAGAGGAGCAGTGGGTACAGAGGACCAGAGGAACAGTGGGCACAGAGGACCAGTGGAACAGTGGATACAGAGGACCAGAGGAACAGTGGGTACAGAGGACCAGAGCAACAGTGGGCACAGAGGGCCAGATGAACTGTGGATACAGAGGACCAGAGCAACAGTGGGAACAGAGGACCAGAGGAACTGTGGATAGAGAAGACCAGAGCAACAGTGGGCACAGAGGACCAGAGGAGTAGTGGGTACAGAGGACCAGAGGAACAGTGGATACAGAGGACCAGTGGAACAGAGGACCAGTGGAACAGAGGGTACAGAGGACCAGAGGAACAGTGGGCTCAGAGGACCAGAGGAACAATGGGTGCAAAGGATTAGAAGAACAGTGGATATAGATGTATTATTTCTGGCTTTTCCTAATTCAGAGCGCTTCTACTTCGTGTCGTAAAACTAAACAAGGTAACCACAACTACCAGTCGTAGCGAAGGAAAAAATATCACCAGGAGCTAATGAAGACTCGAAGCAAAACACGCCTAATGCGTGGGGAAACGTAAGTGACCAAAGAGCAGTTGTTTTTTAAATTTGATTAGTTCCAGGGGCTTGTTTTAGGACCAATCACGCAGCAGAGGCAAAACCAGTGCGATCATGGATTGCTTTCAACTCTCTATTAAAAATTTCTCCCAATCTGATACAATTTAAGATCACCTCTAGCTTTCTGCCGTTCTAAATCGACAGGGAGATCCAATTTTGATCAATCATATCCTTGGACAAAGTTTCGCAGAAATACACATCCATTGTGGGGTCAATAATTTTTTAAAAATTTTTTTTACTGAACTTTTCCTCGTACATTCAAGAAGGGATGTTACCTGAGAAAGAATTCCACTGCCAGTGAGCTCTTGTTTTTTTAACACCCCATTCACATATATCTCAGATTTCCCGCCAGTTGCGGTGTAAGTGCAGCTGATATGAGTCCATGTTCCAGCTGGTACAAGTGGCGAGTTTGTCTCGGCGCTGAAAACAGTCTAAAGAATCAAGGAAAGAAAGTGACGGAAATTTAATCTTTCCTCCCCTCTCTGTGGTAAATTTTCTTCTGTCAAGCGTTTTCTTTTTCTGACCGACTAAACGAAGTCAAGTGACGATTAATATAAGCGTGCTTGTGATTGGTTGCAAAAAAACTAAATAAGCCGTAAGTGAATTCTAATACAAAAACTGTCGAGTAAAAAGCACACACGTTAGACTACTCACAAGAGCTAAGCCATTCGTTAGGTTGTACTTCCTGCGCGCACGCTAAGCAGACCTATGTTTTATAAAAGCTCACCTGGGATTTTTCATTACGGTGAAACCATCTGACTCTTCCGTCTTTGATCGTTAGCGAATACTGCTGATGTGTGTTCCACGGGTTATCGGGATTGCAGGTGCTGAAGACAGACTGTTGACCGCGGTTGGTATTCAACTTGAGCCATAGCGCCACTGTCACACTGAACAGCGGTTTTCTCTGTATTCGTTGTCCGTCAATCAAAATATTGCCTATGGGAAGATGATGAAATGAGTAACTTGTGCTATCTTCAACTGTAGTTTTTCCATTCCATTCAGATAACAAACCTCTAGTTCGTCATTGGGTATTTCAGTCAATCAGTCAGTCAGCGACCCAGCCAATAAGACGAGTGACTAACATTCGAAACGTCAGCTCAGAAACTCTTTTCGGTGGTCAATTCACATTAAAAACTCAGTTGATAAAACAGTAAATCAGTCACCCAGTCAGTAAGACAATCAGTCAGTCGGTCAGTCAACTGGTCAGTCAGTTTGCCATCGTTAACTTATCTTAACCGCCGACATAAACTTACCTCCACGTAGTTGAAGTCCATTCCCGCAAGTTCCACTGGTCTTTGTCACGGTAGCAAGGCTAGTTAATTTACCGTCATTCAGGCTACCGGAGTCATCAAACACATCACTGCCTGACACGCGGTCAAATCCAAAGTAGAACACTTGACCAGTGCTCGCTGAAATGAAAAATTTGACGTAGTATTAAAACAATCGATATAGGGCAAAACAAAAAGACGTGGGTTACAAGAAGCCCACATTCAAAAAACACATTGCATTCATTTTCGTTCATTCGTTCAATCCAAACTCATTGCTTTGAGAAAAACTATGCATTAGCCTTTTCCTAAAAATAAATGCTTTTATGAATCTTAATGGTCGATGAAAGAATCGCTGAGTTATTGTTTATCCATATCAGCTTATGATCAACGTGGAAGAAAAATATGTTGTAAACAATTTGAGAGAGAGGAAATTACAGCTTTTGTTGAAAGTAACTCACGTGTTTTGGCTAACCCAAAATTGCAGTTATCATAGAGCGTTTTCACTTCAAACGGAGTCAACTCCCTGTTGTACATGTATATTTCGTCCAGAGTGTCGACATCTGTGACAGTTCCTTCATGTTTGCCAAATGCTGCATAGCTGTCCCAGTCTTCTGACAATCTCCCTGATGCAGGCCCTTGCTTGTTGAGGTTGCCGTTAATAAACACCTTAGCCTGGCCACTCTGCTCATTGTATGTTACTGCGATATGCATCCATTGTTCTAAGGTGATAAAAATAAAAATAAAACAAGCACGTAGCAACAGGGGGGAAGTCCTTGGGTGCCCGTGACCTCCTCTTTGTAAGCCTTTTTTAAAGCAAACGACCTACAATATTTAGGTGGCAAGAACTGGTGAGAACCCTCTGTTTGACACGATGTGACCGTCCCCCACCTTTTGAAAAATCCTGGCTACGCCCCTGTAAAATGGAGTGTGGAAATCGCTTGCAGTGTCTAAGTGGCAATTGATAAGATAGGGGTGAGTTGATGTGGAACGAGAGAATTGGGTCGAGTGGGGAACCAGGAGGACGGCCTAACTCTCTAAAAAGCATGGAGTGCAGGAGAAAATTGCTTGGATTAACATTTTATATCCAACATTTGTAGCATTGCACAACTATTACATTCAGTGGTAAGAGATCTTGGCAAGCTTTATCTTAATAATAACCCCTAGTCTACATTTTCCTCAGGGTAAGAAATTTTTCACCATATGCTGATCAACAGTATAAAAGTAAGAGAAAAGCTACCTTATATTGTGATAAAAAAATAGACCGTTAACTTACTCTCCGTTACTATAGGATCAGTGACAACTTTGAAGAGTTGTTTATCATTTTGGTCGTTATGACTCCAGCCGATGGCCCCGTTCTCCATCATCAGAAGATACTGGTCGTGTTTGTGCGCTGAATGGCCACCAATCGTATCAAACAAGTAATGTTTTCCCTTAACCGAAGTAGCATTTAACCACATTGCTATGGTTACACTATCAATTGGTTTGTTCCGGAACGTTTTCCCGTCCAGTTTGACATCTGCTTGTCCAGCATTTAGTTGTACTCCGTTTCCACAGCTTCCTTTTGCAGCTAATGGACAACAAAGAACCAAAAACTTTCGAATTAAAAGTCTCCTTGGAAGGCTTGCAGATCAATTATATTCTCAATAGATCAATTTATATTTTATAAAAATAATGTTATCTCAGAATCTGGCATGCATTAATTACACTTACGTGGAGGAGGAGCAGGTTTTGGTTGGCCTGGTTGCAGAGGCGGCCCACCAACCTTTGCGTGGTTCATAAGTCCTGATTCATCCAGAAACGTATCACCAGTTTTCCTGTCAAAGCTCAGATGTAACACCATGGTGCTTTGGGGCCCTTGGCACTTTTTAATAAGCGTTTTTAGCTCAGGTTCCGCTAGAGTCCTGTTGTAAATGTAAAACTCGTCTACGTAGCCCTCTAAACGACCTTTTCCGCCATATAAGCCGATCCCTGTATGCGAGGTTAGATTAAAATAGGGAGGCAAATTACGTAATGAATAGCTTTGTAAGTCATAGACGCTAAATAATTGCGTGATCATGAATTTGACTCAATCCTTTTTTGTTGTACGTGTAAAGTAATATCGGGCCACTTAACCTCCACTTACCCGCATATTTAGACCAGTCTCGCGACAGGAATACACCGGGGTCAGCAGTTTCCTGTTTTGAAAGTTTTCCATCGATATAAATCTTAGCAATGCCCCGAAGGCCGTCATACATTGCGGCTAAATGATACCATTTTCCATTGGATAACACAGGACCGTCTGTTATGATACTGAACACGGTGGAACCATTTTCATTTCGGTGAAACCAGCGTACCCTGGCATTTTCAACTTGTAGATCATATTGGGCTGAATTAACAGGAAATAAGTAAGTCATATGTAACGTCCAAAATTTGTAGCATTTTAGAATTACAAGCAGAGAGTTACTTACGTTCCTCGTGATTAGATCTGGGCGGTCCTCCAATAGTCTCGAAAAGATCTATTGTTCCGGATGTTTCCTTTAATTGTACCATCATTGCAATAGTAACTTCAATGTAAGGAATTCCTATGTTGGGGAGTCACAATCTTTAATAAAATGGTGATATGTCATGTGCATGCGAATGCGGGTGACTCAAAGTTTGGAAATTGACATAAATAAGACTAGCTTATTTTCGTGAGTGAGCTGGGTGAGTTCACTATTTCGTTCCTTCCTCTGTCTTTCAGCCAGTCAAACAGGCAGGCAGTCAGTCAGTCAATGAGTCAGTCAGTGAGTAAGTCAGTGAGTCTTTCATCGAGTCAGTCAGTAAGTCGGTCAGCTAGCTTGAACACCAGCCAGCCAGCAATTGAGTCAGACAGACAGAAAGACAGAAAGACAGACAGACAATCAGCTGGCCTGTCAGTTAGCCAAATGCATGGTTGGTCGGTCAGTCACATGAGGCGAGTGGCCCACACTGTCGGAAAATAGCCGGGAAGTGTGTCACAAAGCAGATTGGAGTAAGGCTAATCCATCTCGAATGACTTGTAAGCCTTAGTATGCTATATCTCTCACCCCTCCTCCCCCTTCGGCCCAAAATTTCAATGAGTTGTTTTGACATTGTGTTCTTGCGTGGCGAAAGGAATTATGAAAGGAAGCCAGAGGAAAGAGCCTTGCCCATGCGTAGTAAATAGAAATAGATATCATAACCATCTTTTTCAGATATATTATAACTCACCAACGAACTTTGATCCGTCTATTATAATCTGTCCACCACAGCAGATCTTAGCACATTTGCCACAGCTACCTGCTTCTTTATCCAACTGAACATTCATGAGAGTCGCGTTGTTGTTGTGTGATGAATCATCGTACAAGCGTTCTCCATTGTACCGATCAAAACCAAGGTAATAGACCTGATTATAATCCTCTGGAAAAAAAAAAAAAAAGAAATTCAAATAAGAATTTTTGGAGCAAGGAAAAGAGAGAAAAGCCTATAACCCACGAGTGCAGTTGATTTCACAAGATCGATGTGAGCCATGTTCTATCGCTGTGACTACTGTTTGCATCATCAACGACCAAGGCAGTCGTGCCTTTTTAAAGTTGTATTTCCCATTTCTAGAAGTAAAAAAATTGACATTGGGTAGTTAAGTTAAAGGTCAAGTCGACCTTGCGGTAAACTGTGCCAAGGATAATTGCTATACTATAAACTAGTTTACGGGGCTATAAATTTTCATTTTCAAACACCACAAAAAAATGTTTGGTTTTGCCAAGAATTTCACTTTCAATATCATTCCACACGAATTAAGAAATCTATTGACCTCTTAGTTTTGAGGAAGGTTTTTTTTTTGTTTTAAACCCTTCAGCATTTACTGCAATGAGCGTAAGCTTTGACCTTACAACTGACCACGAATAACACAAAAAGTAACTCACGTGTCAGTCCAGCCCATGTGACAATGACACCCGCCAGTAACAAGAGACATACACCTCTTAAGTGCATGGCTGGAGAGTGCCTTCTTCAAATCCCTCCACCTTAATGAATTAGAAATGAGAGAAAGGGAGAAAGAAAGAAAACACCATTAAGGTAAATAAAATTGAATTAGTTTTCTTTTTTAAAGAAATCTCAAGCGAATACAGGCTAATAAATCTTACAAACGTTGCGCGCATGCGATGACTATCCCGGATATGTCCTGATTGTAACTCTGACAGATTTACTATTAACGCGCAAAACTATTCGTTGATACAGTACAGCTTGTGGAGATTAATTAGCCTGATTACTTTGCTATGTCTCTGTTGAGTCGGTTCCAAACGGCATAGGAACTTACAAGTTTGTCATTCGACCGGATTAACTTACCCGTCATTGTGGTAATACCTTGAAAAAAACTTGCCAAACGCTTACCTTAGAGTACCCATATCATCTTTTTAGATCTTTAAACACTTTTATCTCGTTATGGTAAAGGATCTGGCTATTAACATGAAGTTCAGTCACAGCTTTACTCCCCTCCGAGTTCAGTTTGGGGGGCATGCAGTATTGAAGCTTTTGGGACTCCATATTTGGGAACAATGTGTTTTGGTTATAGCGCGCAGTTTATTAATTGGGCTGGTTGTTGGCGCATTATATGATAGTTTTAAAATTTTCCAGTTTGTTAAATATGTCTGTCTTGAAGAAAAACTTTTCGAAGAACGAGTTGAATAGGAATACTCGCGTGAGAATATAGCAAATTTTGTGTTGAAGAAAAAGATAGTTGAAGAGGGTTGAATTCTCGAAATATTCGCTACTATGTTTCTTTAACGAGGCTCCAAGAGTTAGCATTTGAACAGTCAAAATAGAGGAAGATTAGTATCTTTTTGTAAGGCTGTAAGGACTTCTTGTGCGGAGTAAAATAAATGAATATACATGTATGTTAAAAGTGCAGGTTGAGTCCTCAATAAACAATGCAACCACAGGAAATCACGTCGGGTACCTTAAAGTTACGTACGGTAAGAAATAGAGCTTAAGAATTGAACAGAGCAGCTACAATTGTTTTTTTACGGATGTGTGGGTTAAGAAACCACAAGATGGTTGGTCAATCGAAAGTTAAATCACTGATGAAAATTGATATCAATGAGCCAAAGGATGAAAATCAGAACTTCACAAAATGACCTTCACAGCAAGGGTGGTTGTACCCCCTGTAAAAATACTATAATGTTTACTCGCTTTAAGGACACCATACATCGTAAGTTCAACTCACCTTTCAGGAATACATCAGTAAGCTCGTTTTATATTTTTTCAAGTCAGTCATGTTGGCTCTAGAATCGCCATCTTTGATCTCATACAAGGGCTCTATCTGAAGACATGACGTCATAGTTTTGGATTGCACGTATTGATCCCTTTGAAGGAAAGACGGGTGTCGGTGTTGATAGTTTAACGAACAAAACATCACATGCAAGACAGGTTCATTTTATTAAATACATGCCAAGAACATCTGAAATTAAAAATGTGTTCAAATGCAGGCGAGTTCAGTCTTGTTCAAAGTGTTGAAAAAAAGTTATGACCACAACTGCTTAAGCGAAACGTATAATAGTATTTTGATTCATTGGGCATGCGCAGTGAAGGCCAATTTCATAGTGAGAGATAAATGTTTTTGAATCAGAGATCAAGAATTTAACATTTGAAAATTATTGAAAATTCTCAAAAAATAATAAAAATTATAATAATAATGGAAGCAATTATAGAAATAAGGCGCAAATTGTGAATTAAGTTCGTTTTTATTCTTTAGCTAAAACAAAATTGAGCTTTGTGGCCTGGCAACGTGACTGGCTTCCTTAAAAAATGACATACATCCAAAAATACTAAGCTTTCTTTTGTTATTCTAAAGTAAGTGCAGACTTACAAACCGGCTGATAATCATTTTCTCCAGTACCATTTTTTTTGGGGGCGTTTGAGGGTTAGTCTCGTTAAAACTCATTAGTTGTCATTTCTTTCTTATCACAAGGCAAGCAGCTTCTCTATCTGCAATTAACGCTGTTTAAGTCAGTCTGCTTATTAAAAATGTTGGTTTGTCAGTTCAGGTGTCGATGGAATAACAAACAGTTAACAATGACGCAAGCTATTAGAGCTTTTTTATTCATTTCTTCTTGCAGCTGTCGAGTTGATTTTAATATGACAGGGCCACGTACAGCAAATCTATGCAGTTTATGAATCCGTTAGCTGTCTTGTTATCAGTGTTTAGTGTGCGCCATCCCTACTACAATTTCGGTAGGTTATTCGTTTAATCTTCTTACTTATGCAAAATGAAATGAGATATTTGGTTTTTTTACTGCCGGGTTAATTGAGCGATTTTGACAGAAGGGTTGGTACACAAATCCGGCTTTGATTTATGATTGAGTTAACATTCATCGGGCAACGACTACCGGAATTCTACATTAAGATGACATTTTCAGTCCCACTACGCCAAAAAGATGGGTTGGTTTGGATCTTAAGGAAGTGAAAGTAAGAAAACGAAACCTTCGATTTTTGTTACTAAATGATATTATTTTCCAAACTCTGCTCTGATCAATGATGAATTTTCGTCCTGAAACCATAAGCTTCAGGAGTAAGCCTTTCTTACTTTCATTTCGGGTTTCCATCCACCGATCAGCTCCAGTTCAACGGCAAGCTTGAAAGCATCATGGAGTGAAACTGATAATATTGTTTAAGTGTTTCAATCAATCGTTTTGATTTACATGTTCGAATGTGCCAAACGGAGAACATTTGACTAATGAACTCCTTTTAAGCGTCAGAGGGCTTATAGGAAGCGAAGAAACGTCACGTCACGTCACCGTGCGGGTATTTCATCGCAGATATGCCTCTTATTCAATTTAAAAATCAGTTGAAGCTTACTCGTTAAATTGTGCTAGAAGATGACCCACTCTGCCTCTCCAGCGAAAAAATGCAAAATTAGCGTTTTTAGTTTTTCTATAGAAAAGTATTCTGAAATGTATTGAGTCTAAAAAAGAAACCAAGATTTTCAATTCATTCCCAGAATTACCTTAATTTTGCGAGATAGATCGGTTTTTTTGCGCGATTTTTCATGATAAAGCCCAAACATTGCTCATTTCAGCTGCTTCTGTTTCTTTGAAAAACTCGAGCCGCGAAGCTATTTCTATATACTTTTAGAACATTAAGATTTCCCGGACTGACTGAGTTTATTTAAAAACAGAAACTTCAATAAAAATAAGATGCGATTTTCCGTGATAAAGCCCATACGTTGCTCATTGCAGCTGCTTTCACTCTTTTGATTAACTAGAGCCAGGAAGCTCTTTCTTTATACTATCTTGAAGACATTAAGATTTCATAAATAGCCGTAGTTTATTCAAATGTAGAAACTTAAATTGAAATGGGATGTTCTTGAATTACAGCTTGCACTATTTAGAGTTTGCTAAGAGCCGCTTTGTAGTTTTCACATTATTCGCCTTGCTGGTTACGCACGTGACATTTCATGGGGCTATTTTTGCTCCTCTTGACGCTAGAGCGAGCTTTACTATATATGGGAAAACCGCTGACCAAGAGAGTCGCATTATTACTCTGAAAACACGTCAAAATTTAGAATAATTAAAGCCTAAGCCAGTATTTTGGCGAACCTATTACTTGAACCTTGAATTTAATCTACTTTCTTTTAAAGCGTCCATATCCTGCCATCCATCAGCTTGCAGGTTTTGACTGAGAGGGTTTTTATGCTAAACAAGCGATCAATCGTCCAGGTAAAGTCCTTTATGAATTATATCTGTTTTAGGAATTACATATCAGTTCATGATGTGCGCGCAGCGAACATCATGAGAAAATTAGAGTCAAGCCAGCCGAATGCTGCATCATGAACGGAAAAAAAAACGAGTTTTGGGAAGTAATTAAATCAATCTCCGTTTTTCACGCGGCTGAATTATTATTACACGAGCTGAATGTTTCGTTCCTTCTTTTCAACTTATCGTATCTTGGACCACAAACAAGAAGAGTAAAGTGGTTTATTTTATATCTTATATCGCCGAAAATATCGTTGCGTGATTGCACTATGATTTCACGCTTATTGTTAGGTATTTTCGAAATAACCAGGCACTCAAAATAAATTTATAACGTAGCCAGAAAGTAAAGACGAGTCTCGAAAACTTCAACTTCAACGCCAACATTTCAGAAAAAACAAGTTAACTTTAAAGAGAACTTGAGCGAGATAGCCATTTCGCGTTTCCCCATTTAGGGTAATGTTTTGAGATTTATGCTAAAACAAATGAGTTTAGGCTGAAAGCCATTGCACTCTATATTGATCTGAGGCACAGGAGAATGGAATTCTCCCCATAAAAGATCATGACAGAACTTTTAGTTTTAACGACAAGATAAAAACCGTAAACATTAAAGAAATCTCTCAATAACAAATTTCTCGCCGTTTAGCATTGGTATAGCCTTATCTTAACAGCTTTGAATCAATTTTATATACAGAAGCACCTTTAACTTGAACTTAGTGGCAGAGGAAATCTTTTAAGAAAAAAATCCGCAAATCTTTAAACTGACTTATAAGTCGGGGACTTTAGTAGATGAAACCAGCTTAAATTTCAATAAAATCATTGTAGAATTTACTATTTGACATGGTGTAAATGGTTTTAAATGGATTTCATTAATGCAATTTTCCTCCTCTTGTTTGGCTCCTAATGGATTTCGGTGGTTTTGTGATCTATGTCACACCAAGTACACAAAAGTCTTTTATTATTCCCCAAAAAACGTTCAAATCACGGAAACAATATCGACAAGTGCTATTTCAGTTTGCTAACTTTCGTTTAATGAACTAGGAATGATATTGATGTTTAAAACCGAGTAGCAATTTACAGTCTTATCAGATTTTATCTTAGCATGCAAATAAATCTTTCTCGGCAAGTATAAATTTGAAAACAGCCAAGTAGGCCACGGCGAGATTTTGGCCTTTTGTCAGGCACATACGTCGAATTAAGAGCTTTCAATACACAATACACAATAAAACTGACCACGTTATCGGTTGTACTGTCATTGGAAAAGCTTTTATTTAAAATGCCGAAATTAATCTACTGGTTTTGCATAGATCAAAAAGCGATCCAAGGCGTCGATAAAAAACTGAAAAAAAAACCTTTTGCTAGAAAGGAGACAAACAATAAAAGAGCCCCTCTAAAGCCAAACATCGCGGTGAGCATTCTGCAGCCAGCGAAACTCTATCACGACTGAAGTAAACTTCGATTCTTACCTTACTAAGCCATAATTATCACGGTAAGAATTAGAAATGGCGTTATCTTTTCTCGATTGCGTTTAAACTACAAGTGGTACCGAAGCTACAATAATGATGTAGTATCTTTTTGTTTTCCAGAAATCCTAGAATCACGTACAGCATACATGTTTAACCCTTTTTAAATGGTGTCAATGGGTAAAGGTTTCATCAATACAAACAAAAATTGTCTGGAGATTTCTTAGTGCGATTCTAAGAGGATTTCAATTTTCAATTTTTTTTAAACATGCGCTTGATACCAGGTACCTCATTTTTGTATCATTGCGATGATCGTGATTGGGATCTATTAGGCTTCATCTCGAGGAAAAGCGACATAAGGGTCCTAAACACGTCTTAAGACTGCTCAACTGAAACATACATTTGCCTAATCTCTCTTAAATGGCCTGAAATATTTCTTTTTAAGATATTAAAATGCTACCGTGGTATTTGCATTGATATCCTGGTTAAAGGTGGGGTTGGAAAGTACGACCAGCCACGATATGTGCGTGAAACGTACTCCTTGCGCCGTGATACTTATTCAGAAATATTTTTAGAACGAAACTCAGTTTTCAGACAGCAAACAATTGTCTACACTTTGAAAAAACTCTACATGTCACTTCAACTGCCGAAAGCTTTCTCATGTTAAACCTTTGCGGCACAGTGTTTAGATTAAAGTTTTCAGGACGACACGAGTATAAGCAAATATGGGAACTGATTTGGACTTATATAATACCTACATCCTGTTGTATGATATTTATCTAACGTGTCTCAAGGGAGAAGTCAGGAAGATTAGATTGAGAGCAATAAAAAAACTTAAGAGAACTATACTCTGGCCCTTAAAAAGATATCCTGTCGTCAATTCGATTGTTATCTGTCTATCATTATGATTGCAAATGTTTCTCTACAATCAAATCTGAGAAGAACCATGGAAATATCCCATCCAACACAAATTGAAATATTAAGGTCTTAAAAAAACCTGATATGCTGATGACGTGGTCATTTGAAGGGCTTAGTGGAGTTACTTTGCTTTCTATCAATTAAACCTCAAAAAATAATTTTACATGAAAACAGGAGCTAAAAATTTTTCGTTTCCGTGCTGATAACAAGATCTCGGTGAAAAGAAAAAGCAGTCTAGATATTACAAAAAATGGAAAACTTAACGAGCGCAACGAATGCTTGGCTGCTTCTTGGCAAAAGAGCTTTATTTCAAAGCGAGAGTACTCCGGTATTGTTACCATGGTAACTGGTCAACCTTACTAAGGCAGTATCAACACAGGAAGTGAAATTGTTTTGATGCTATTTTGGTAGAACTTGCTTTCGAGATATTTACTTTTGCTTCTTCCTACCGTGGCTCCTTTATTGACAAGAACATAATAATTATTTCTTTCCATAGTCAGGATGGCGGCTGAATCCTATTTTAATCAGCTATAATTGCTTAGATTAGAAAACTTGCCTCTGCATCTCAATTGAAAGTTTACCAAATTGGCCAATCACGACTTGTCAGGAACTCCTCGTGAAGGACTTAGATTACTGAGTGACAGGGAATGTCTTTCATGGTTGTTTCAAAGGAGAAGTACATGGATCCTTAAGGATTTGCAAGATAAACATAGCAACGATCTCTAGGTCACTCTTTTGAGATTTGACATCTATCATGATTAGTTTTGAACAGGAGAGTTACAAATGACATAAAAGACCGACCCAGTCAGAATAGTTCCCTTTGTCTCTGAAATGTCATTTGAAGCTTAGTCCAAATTACTATTCATCACTATTTATCAAGCTGACTTTTCTTCGCCTGCAACCGGATTCTCTGAGCACGTTCTACATGAAACTTTCACAGACTGGTGAGAATAAACAGTTTGCTTACGGCAGTGTCGATGCTTTTTAAAAAAAAACCGTAAACCAAAACCTTCAGTCCAAATATTGAAATTCGAAAATGCTTAAAAAATAGCGGTCACACGGAATATTATGGTTGGGAACAATAGTATCGAAAAATGTTGTTTTATCTGTATATAAGAGGAACAAGCCAAGATAAGTCGAGTTTGCAACAACATGCAAATCGTATTTCTGTTGAGGCGTCTAGTAAATGAAATGTTTAAACCATTTTAGATAGGAATAGAAAATCATTAATACTTTTTTTTCCCTCGATGTGGCCACGAATACATATTAAAGCTTTTTAGGCTCCTTCTTGTCGATGTTTTATTACTATATTTGGAAAGACTTCGGAACAAGCTGTTTTTCATGTGGGGGGGGGGGGGGGGGGGGTGAGTAAGGTGAGGGTGACGAAGTGCGTTTGTTTTTAACGTCACTTTTTCATCAATAACTTGTACGAGATGGAAAAAAAAAGTTTACATTAGGTCAGTTTCATTCCGTTTAACTAAATCTCTTGTTGCCGAATATATGATAGTGGAAATAAATCCAATATATCCTGGCACTCTGCTATAGACACCATTTGATAAAGGCGAAAACATTTCGGTTAGGTAACCGTGCGCTGACATTGATAAAAAAGGAAAACATATAAAATCAATAAGATGAAATTCTCTTTAAGAGATATTTGTCGATATAATGTCATGTACACACAAATCAATTTACGATGAATATGAAATTTAGTAATTCTTATTTCCGTCCATATATACAAATTTTCGAAATGAAAAGGCAAACATGAAAATGAAACCCTTTGACACGAACATGTTTATTTTTATAATATAAGTAGTTATATATACACAGCGCCTCCAGCTTAAGAGGTTCTATGCTAAAGAGTAAGTTGAAAGGATACTGAAATCATATGATAAAGGCGGTTGCCTGGGAGAAAAATCGTGGAGAGTTTTATTTGATAAAGAATAACAAGAAGGCAAGTATTGCAAGTATTTTGAAAAACATTAAGTTACATCCGACTCCGAAGTGGAAACTGGTTGGGAAATCTGGTGGTTTTCTTTGTCATTTGTTCTTCGAATTCAAGCAAGATAACAATCTCCTAGTCTTTTTGGGTGTTTACTCTACCAGAAACAAGTTTAAGAGAAACTTCCTTTAAGCTAAGTTCCATCGTTTCAGTGATTTTTTTTTTGAAAAATTGTCTTTAGAAGATCACAGAAAAAAATTAAGGGACGAAGCTTTCCTCTGGTCATTTATCTTACTTTTATCTTGAAAACACCAAAGTCACTAATCATCATCTGATGAAGATTCAGAGCATACTGAATTCTCGAAAAAAATAGAAGCAGGTGGAAACAGTATTTTGGGATTCCTAACGAGTGGAAACTCTCAATTTGCGTGTCAAACTAGATTCTGGATATATTTGCTTCTAATTCTACCAACACAATATTTTGTTAACTTTTTATTAACGTTATCAGTGGAAGAGAGTATGACTAAGTTGATTTAAAAAGGGAAATGCTGTCTAACATAGATTTAAAAGACAATAGACGAATTAAGGGCTTCCGAGCTTTCCTTTGTCAACCATTTCTTTTACGCTTTTCTATCATCCTTATGGTAGCGATGTGAAAACGTATGATGTGAATTGTTTCTCAAATTTTGACGATGTAATCTTCCAATAACGGCTAACGTGTGCTTAAGGACTAGCTTTTACATCCATGTCCATCTTTCTTTCTCGCAAAGACAGTCATGGCAATTTTTCACTGCTCTCATTAAAGCAAAATAGAATTACAATATGATTCAGTCACGGAGCTGGGATTAAATCATCTTTTGTGTACTTTCATGCGAGATGTGAGAAGCCTCATTCATTAAAGAAGTGTAATGATTCAACCACACTTAAAAATTAACATGACGACACAGCTGTTATTTTTCGGTTAAAAAAAAAATGATCCTTATTTTTCATGTTTGTTGAGGAAACTACACACAGCAACCCTCGAAAATAAAAGTAACTAGAGCATGAATTAATCAATCCCACTGGGCCTATATAAATGTATGATCCTTGAATTAACGTTATGAAAATACACCAAGGTGAGTAAGGTGAACTTAGCGGGAAACTTCTATTGCAAATACAAAGGATGTTTTGTAGAGAGGCCGCCTACTGCAATTTCTGACAAACGGACAATTGGAATTTTTAAGTTAAAAGAAAACCGAAAGAAATTTGATTCTGAATTGTTAATCTTTAGTCATTTCCTCTGTTTTTCTAGAATACGGAAATCAATTATTTGCTTCCAATCCACTTATACATTGTCGTGCATCTGTCATACAGACTTGGACAACATAAACACTCTTTGCGGAAGCTTGCACGACCATATCAAACAGTGGATCTATAAACTGAAATAATTATTTTTCGAAAGGAAACCGAGACAATCAGCCACAAGTTCAGTCTACTAAATTCTGACTAAACGGGAAAAGAAATTCCGATAACCGGAACGATTCTTGTGGTATTACTACCATTTTTTTGTAAGTATGGGGCTTCGCTGCGCGCATGAAGCATAAATGAATTTTTAGTTGTATTATCAGGTGAGGTTTAAATTAAGTCAGATGCTATTACTTTCAGTGCCACGGTAAAATAAATATTTAATCGTTTTAAGCCAAATTTCAGTTGGGCAAACTGGAGGACCTAGTTTAGAGCATTTCTGGTTATATATCTTAAGTAAATCAATTCAGATTTTTGGTAACTTTTCTTTCTTTTAAAGTCATATGTGAATTTTAACTTTGCAAAAAGACACACCTAGGAGATGCAAATCAGTAAAATGAACAGAAAATTTTTGATGCATTACAGATTGAAAGTGGTTTTGATCTACGTATTTGCGCCTTGATCCCCTGGGATTTGAATCTTTATCTACTGCCTATAGGAGTTTCTTTAAAACCCTCCATGTACAAAATACATAATGAATAATTTGAAAGTCAATCTTGTAAGTCGAGATTTATTCAAAAACATCGTGAGCACTGATAGAGGCACGTGCGAAAATAATTTTTCTGAAATGAAAAAGAAAAGGGAAAAGAAAGGAAGGAGAAAAAAATACGGCGAATCGTTTAAGATGATTCAGAGTGTTACCTTAGACACATTACTAGACGATAAAATGTAGTGAATTATAAGTGGTTTTTGGGCAAAATATATTTACTTTGGATGTGCGGTCGTTACGGCATCGTTATTCCCATATTTAAGAAGAAAAGATAGAACCAAATCACAAAAAATTAACGTCCATCTTTCCTAATAGCAATTTAAATAGATCTAAAACACTTCGCAGTGATGAATGGCCATCAAGTGGAAATTTGCGAAATGTCGAAAAAATTGTTCAATACTGGACAAGGAAATCTTAAGGAAAGAAGAAAAAAGATGTTGTTTTTAAGTTAAGTCTAACTTAGCACATTTCTTATTCCTTCAGTTTGCTTGAAGAAATTGTAAATTGTCACAGTTAATGTTAACTATTACGAGAAAAAAAATTAAACTGAGCGTTGGAAGAAGAGAAGGATCAAGAGATAATTTTCTTATGAAATTTGAACGAAATAGATACCGTATCTATTTCGTTCAAATTTCATAAGAAAATGATCTCTTAGTCCTTCTCTTTTTTCAATTTTATTATTAGAATGTTTAATTTTTAACTTCAAATGTTTTTCCAAAAGGAAAATGAATAACTCAAGTGTAGTGGTGCCAAGTTCTTCTGGCGGTGAACCGACAGAAAGTCTCCCTTTGAACGTGTCGATTCAAATCATCCAGGCAGTCTTGTCATCCTTGGTTTTGATTTGTTCGTTATTTGGCAACGTGTTGGTGATCTGTGTTGTCATGCAAAGCCTCCGCATGCGCACTGTGACCAACTTCCTAATTGTGAACATGGCGTGCGCGGACATTCTTTACACACTGGTTTCTTTTCCTCCACTTTTTGTCATGATTTTTAACGAATACGATTGGGCAATGAGTCGCCGTGGGCTTGGCATATTCTTCTGTCAGGTGGTAAATTTTGGTCAATACATGTTGGTTCCTGTTTCAGTCCTCACTCTAGCCGCTATCGCTTTCGATCGATTCTTCGCCATTTTGATGCCACTAAGGCGTATCATCAACAAACGTGTCTTCCGCTGCATCGTAATTGTCATCTGGGTGACTTCCGCCGCCGTAGCTGCGCCATTGCTGTACGCATTACAAGTTACTATAGACAGCAATGGCGGCTTGACCTGCAACGAAAAATGGGCCCCACTCTTTGACGAGAAGACGGCGCACAGGGATTACGCATTGGTTTTATTCTTTATAATGTTTTGTCTCCCAATCTCCGTAATGATTGCCTTGTACTCAGTGATTTGTCGTCATTTGTGGTCCATAAGGCCACCTGGAGAGATGGAGCAAGAGGAATCCAAGAACTTGATTAAACGACGTAATTCACGACGAAGTGTCGTGAAAATGCTTATTACCGTTGTTGCAGTTTTCATCATATCCTGGTTACCACTGCAGATTGCCAATTTAATATTTTTCTTTCAGGAAGTTGATATTTCAGAGTCACTTTACTTCGCCTGTGAGATTTTCATGCGCGCCAGCTGCGCTTTCAATCCATTGGTTTACGCAGTTTTCAGTGAGAATTACCGTCAGGGATTTAAGAAGGTGTTTGCCCGATGCTGTTGTTCAAAGATTAAAGCTTTTGTTCCGCAAAGAGCTTTTAGTACTTCGTCTTCGCGCCAACAAACGGCACCTTCCTTATTGAGGAGTGATTACGCCTTATCGAGGCGAGAAGGCGGCAAGAAAAGTTGTCGGGAAGTGAAAGAAGAGGATCAAGAGGAACATCAAATTTGAATTAAATGAGTGTAAAAATTTCTTCATTGATTTTGTATCGTTACTGAAAAAGGTTTGAAACCACCTTAACTGAAAGTAAACGTTGACACCGTTGCCAGTTTGCCAGACACTGTTGACAAACTTAAGAGGAAAAACTTCTATTTAGCTGACTTAATAAACTAAGTGCGGCGGTTTAATCTTCGAGTAAATTTGCAACTATTGCATGTCCCTGCGGACGCATACCGTATTATTCCCATTGTTATTGTAATTAATATTACTGTTACATTATTATTATAATGATCACTATTATCATTATCTTTACATTATCATTTTTATGCTATGGCCGTAAGGACCTCCCTTAAATTTTGACTAGACCACTCCAGTTAAAAATATCTGAAAACGTAGACTATCTGTCCAAGCGCTGGAAAGAAGGCGTCTGATTAAAGTAACTAGACCCCCTAAAACTGTAAGTCCTTAGGACCTGAATTGAAGCATCAGGCACGTTCTGCGTCAACAGCCCTGCTCAAAATTACAGCCCGGGAGAATCGTCCAAAGCGATCGGTTATTACTCCTGGATTTGAACCATTTACTGTGTGAAGGTATCTATTACTATTGCTATTTACACCCGCCAATAATCGTTATTACTATCATTTATATTTCCTCGTCAATGAAAGACCAGCTGTACTGAAGTTCCTTGTCAAGTCTCGCTGTTGCTATTTTTCAGAAACTTTCACGTTCGAGTTCACAATTTCACGCTGATATAGATCATGCTGAGATATGCCTATTCGCAGAATTATATTATACACCTACAGCAAGTGAAAATAATTAAATTGGACGCTCAAAAAATCTATAATCGTTAGAAGTGAATAGAAATGGAAGTGTAATTCTGCGACCTTGTATATAATAATGCGCTGTTACGCAGATGGCTGTAATGACGGAAATCTTATTCGTTAAAAACTAATCTAATAAAAACTGCAACATATATATCCTAAAAACAAAAGATAAAAATAAAGACGTCTAGAAAAAAATTAATTGGGATTTTCGTAGTAGTATTTATGCCTCAATGCTTGTTCACTTTCTATTTGGACATCATATTCCAGACACACTGTTTTAGCTTAGTTATGAATTTCCTGACTTTAGTCAAAGTCTTAAGGTTAAATTATTGAATCACACTGCTTGTCACCTGCGGCAAGTCCTCTTTTCTTTATCACTATTTTTCTCCATTGCTGTGACGTACAGACAAATTTCTTTCCTCTTGTGTAGCAAAGTACGAGGCCAATTTCATGCAATCTCCAAAGTAATTTTCTGAAAGGTGACGTCTCTTTGAAGTTAGTTATAATGCCATTGTTATATTTCAAGGGGTTTCAGATAGCATTATTTTTTCAGTCAATGTATGTTGTTTTTTGTTTTAGCTTAACATATGCGGGGTATAAGTTTGTGATGACAGGATAGATTAGTTCTGTATAGAGAGGAAGTTATTTACAAGATTTCACTATCATTTAGTTTACAAGCAAACAACAACTTTTAAAACGAGCTCAAGAGAAAATGTGTTTCCCCATGATTTGAAAAGTGTCTGGTAAAACTATCAAAACAACAATCACTGATTCACCGGCTGAATCTTTAAACAACAGAGAACTCACATGACTAAAACCCATGGGGCAAAGCGCGCGAATAAGAATGCAATCTATGGGCCAGGAAAAATAAATTGAGTGCCAATACAAATGTGCCCTGAGTAAAAGTGTTGAATTCGCAAAGGATACAGAAAATCGTTACTAAACATTGCCATAAGATGGTAGTATCAGTTGTTTTTTTCACAGATTTAATCACTGGTAGATAATTTTGGTATATACTTGACCAATTCTTGACCTACCCGTTCAGGAAGCAAACAACCTGTCTAGGGTCAACGAGCATCACTGATTATTTTACTTGGATTTACTGTCTCTTAGTTCACTTCTAGTAAAACACAAACGCAGTTTCCTAACCTCAGAGCTTGAAAAAAACCGAGTATCTATCTTTTGGAAAGGATTTAACAACAGGGAGGAGATTCAAAGACCATTTTGCTGAAGCCTGTATGAAAAATTAAAAGCTAGAACCCGTCGTTTGTGGCCAAAATCGATGAGTCTTGGTTTTTCAGTCTGTAATGCGTTTTCTAAGAACTTAGTCCGTTTCAGTTCTCTCTACTTGGTCCTGCTTGTATGCTGTTTCATTGTGAAAGTTTTTCTTACTTGTTTGAACAAAACAAAGGTGGCCTTTTCACAAATAGAATTTGACTGGTGGTGTCAACAATTTGTCGCCTCTCAATGGCTGATCGGGTGACTGGCAAGTTATCCTGCGGAGCAGGGTTATGAACATCCCGTTGACAAGTTACACGAAATTGCAAGAGAAAATCAGAGTTCTTGAATGATTCTTCGCGATTGCAAAATACACCAGCCTTTCTTTTCATTAATAAAAGTGCTTTTGAGTGGGATTTTCTCTATCTACGACCGTCACCTTTTCTGTCATTTTCTGTGAAATATTCATGGAAGGTAAGTGAGAGAATGCCCGGGTCATGACTTTGGAATGTGCAATTGATTAAATAAGACTCCCAGATAAGACACGTCAAATAAGAATACCAGAAACTCGAAGGCCATTTTGGCTCAACCAACAAAATTCGACAAGGACTTTTTAAGGGTTTGGTAGTTTCACAAGGTAAGAAAATGACCATCGTCTACCATTTGCGTTTGTATATTTCCCAACGAGGCGTATTATTTTGGAAAGGTCTTAATTCAACCTGTCTTCTACCTGCTACAAGCAGCCGTGTTTTTCTTTGTGCAAGTCTTCGTGGTTATAGAAACAAGAATTTTCCACTGACGTAACTGTAGGTTGTACTTAACCTCTCACTCTCTGGGTCTTGTAAGAACGCAGGTAGCAGCCCTTGTACTCGATACGTCCAAGCAGCTTGATTATACAGCGTTCACAGGACGACGGCAGAGGGGCAATTGTTAGTCAATATTTATGTTAAAATTTCATAACACTTTTATTTTTCGATCGGTTATTATAGACCAGCTGATAATTAAGTTTTGTTTTGTTAAACGGCAAAACATTTTTTTTTTGATACAAACAAATTCTGAATTTGATGTATTCTTTTCTTTTAGGAAGGATGGAGAGATTTGTCTTCCTTATAGCTTTGACCGTTAGCGGTAAGTGCATTTTCATATGATGCTTTGAACGATTATTCAACGGTTTTTAGCCTGGATACGGTTTTCAACTTGTAACAACATGAGTTTGATGATAATTTTGTTGAGACGACGATGTAATCGCCTTAAATGCTACAGAAGACGATCAATTGTTAGTTTTTTTTCATAATATTGAAGAGATAATTGTTTGATCTATATAGGCAAACCCCCATATAGTTTCCGACTGACATGGCTTTATGTGTGGTCATCGATGTCCTGAGCTATCAAGGATACCGTAAAACGATGCTGCAACTCAAAAAGCGTAGTTCGCTATGAAATTAACAGTTTGATATGCAAGGCCATAATGTAGAATTAGTGGCAGTCTGAATCGGTGGACCGCCAAACGCCGGGGCCAGAGGCCTTTATAAACTAACCTGTGCACTTACTAGCAAATCCACGAGAAGCAAAACACATGGATATTGTTTTCTTAACTTTAATCACAATATTTACAATACTTTTTTGGTTCTTTGACAACTTTAAAACACCGTGAAATTTAGAGGTTCCGTCTTGACATTGTCTGGATACCTGCAGATTGCGTAAAGTTTGAATGACATGAATCTACTGAAAATGTTGAGGATTGCAGTTTCCCGATGACTCAGAGTCAATTCCGTTCAGACGAAACTAAAAACAGATGTAGTTTAACTGAGCATTGTTAATGTAATAGGAAGTTTTGTAAAACTGCGCTCATTGGAAAAACTTCCACCAGGGAATCAGAATAGGTGCACTTCAGTTGAAGCTTCAAGGCACAAATGAAATTAGCCTCAAATGTACGTCGCAGTGAATTCTTTTGACCTCAGATCCTACGAAGAATTAGCTTAGTGGAGCCGATGTGTATTTCTCCAATATATTTTTTATTCTTCTCAAGAGGCTCGCACAGATTCTTTGACCACCATCGATTTATTTGTTGGGTGACACAAACACAAAAATGCTTATTGTAACAAACTGATTATTTTTGATGCAGATTTCCGTCAAAAATGCTTTTTTTCATGACAAGAAAATAATTTCTTACAAAAGCTAACAGCTGGAAATCGAAAAAAGAATATTTACAGTCGACAACCAAAATCATTAGCGAATGATTTCATGTTTTCAAAACAATACCGTTACCTGCTTCTGGAAATCACGTACCGTGACGTGATAGTCAAGACTGCTGACCTTCTCGGGTCGATCAAAGACTCACTGAATACAGGATTTTGCCACTTGACCATTCAGAACCTGTTGAACTTCAGAACAATAGAATTTTAATGGATTTAACAATCGTAGGTGTTAATATGAGTTTGGACTAAAAAGAAGGCTTAAACAAAGATATGCAGAACATATTTGTCCTTTCGACGTGAAAAACAATTTTCTAACTCTTTTATAACGTTTATAACGTGATTCTCGCTTGCAAGACCACATTAAAGTAAATAAAACTGTAAGGTGCACAAGCTGATTAAATAGGGAATAAAATGGAGATTTCCACGGTTGCTATATCAGCAATATTTAGATCCGTTAACTTTCCATGTCAAGCTCTCATTCAGGGGGCCTGTAGCCAGTGATCAAAGTGTAATCTCACTAAAAAACCTTCAGTAATATACCGAATTGGAACTTAGAAATTGTATTCAAATTACGATGTTTCTTTTGGCACTGAATATGATGTCGAGCCTCTTCTGACCATAGGTTTCTTTACAGGTGCATTGGCTTCTTGTCGGCACCCAAAGCCTGGCCAATTCATGGCCAAAAAAGAGGGAATCCCCAGCTATGTAGACAGTCCATCAGCAGCTGACTTGGCAATTGACAGTGAGTATAAATCCACCGATCATCTTCACCACAATTAAATACATTTTGTATATGTTCATTTAATTATTGTGGAAAATGATGAGGGGTATAGGTACAGTGTCTGTTCTATGATTTCTCATTGAGTATTTGAAAGTACCTCAGATGTATCGCTCTAACAATAAATAGAAAAAGCTATGCCTGGAAAAATAAGTAACTGTTGGAAAACTCAATACTGTAAGTCGGAAAAATTCTCCTAGGAGAGTTGTAGTGCAACTCTTGATCTCATTAGGCGCTCATCCAGGGAAAACAAAGGAACGCTATTTTCTCTGAGTGCTTAAAGCTTCAAGGAACCTTTTTCGCAGTTCTATCAGAATAGTTACTAATAATCATTTACTTGTTTTCGATGAAAGAGCGCCTCGTGGGACATCTTCAGTTCAACACTACCAAGGGTAATGTGGTTGAGGACTCCTCGGGTTATGCCAATAACGGCATCCTTCAAGACGGTGCTATTGTGGTCAACTTTCCCAAGAGCAAGTGTGGAAATGCCGCCTATGTTTACTGCGGGGACATTCTTTTCCACGGGGACACCTTCCAGGCCAAACCCAGAGAGGGCGTCACAGTTGCTGCTTTTATCAATTTGAAGGACATCGAAGGCAGCCGATCTGTCTTTGATACCATTGGTATCAGTCATCAGTGCGGTCAATTTCACTTTGAGGTGAACTATGGTTCTGTGCGCTGGTTCCACA